ATACGTAATGAACGAACTATAGACATTAGTTCGTCTTTCCGCACACACACGTTAAGTAAAACAATGATATCCATCAGCCCATGGGGCACTTCAGACCATAACAAATTCGACCTTGCGAGTCTCATCAGCAGAGTAAAGTGCAACGGTCGGTCGACGGAAGTTTCACCCCCGCTTGTTTCGCTGCAAGAATCTCGTGCTCTGCCTGCCTTGCGTGCTATTTTAAAGTCGACGAGTGTTTGTTGGCAGCAGCTGCCGCATTTGGTTGGAATCCAGAACTTTACTCTGCAAGCCGGAAGGTGCGTGCAACGTTCTCCGGTAACCTGTGACATCTTTACCTAAAAGCGGACGCTCAGAAGAGTCGGAAGACTTACAGTAAAGAAGCTGTAAAAATAAAACATAATAAAAATTCTCGCGACGTTTCGGCCACAACGCAAGCAGCCGTCCTCAGGTGAAGAACAGGACGCAGCGTCCTAATGGGGATGTGTTTATAATATCATTTTATGTACATATCCACATTTATTTAATATTTCTCTTCTGCAGTTTTTATTGAAAATGCAATATTTGATATCTCAAAAACCTGATGTGATAGACAAAAACTGATGCCAGATTTGGAATCAGCACCCCAAAATTACCTTAAACCCGTTGGAATACCTTATGCCAGAAAAAGTGTGTTGACCAGTGTAATCAAGACTGATAGTAGAATGTTTCAAAAACCCACCTCGCGCGGGTTCAAAAGTGCGGTCCGTTAACTATTGCGCCTCCGCCCTTCATGAAGACAGTCCTAATATGTTTAGCGTTTACAAATATTACGAAAGGTCTACTTTAGACACGGTTGACGTTTTTGTTGAGTTGGAAGGACCTTTATGCACGCGTTCATTTCACTTACTCGGCATCGTTCCTCGCAATTTTTCGAGGACACCTTTAATCCACACATCTTTTTCTTTTTAAAATTATCCCATTTCCTCAGTTACTTAACCAGACTATATCAACTCTCCATTCCGGTAACATTTTCACGAGTCTACATTTTCACTGGTCTCTCGCATTTCGCCATAGGCCCACAGAGAGATGAAGACACACTCGTTAATTACGTGTGAACACACGTAAGAGAGATGCCGATTGATTGATTCATGCTTGTTCCATTACTCATAATACTCCACAATCGGCACATACCGTGTTGCTCAGAAACACTGCCAACCGCTCGCACTGAACACCATCATTACAATAAACAATAAGGATGCGCTGGGGAAGGACCGGTGGGGTGGAGAGATAACATTATCAACCTGCGAAGCCAGTAACACCTTGTTTGTCCGCGCAGCTCTTAGCCCCAGCCGATCAATAAAACTCCGAGGCCACTCGCTGCTTCTGCTGCGTAGTAACAACAACACAAAAAACACACGCAACCCGCCCGACCGCTGTTATTTCTTGCGTGGTATCCCGGACGACGCGACAGCTCTGAGCCACGCAGCGCCACACACATCCCCTTAAGCGCGCCCCTTGCCCGCGCTGACAGGTTGGCGTTTTGTTTCGACACACCGTGAGACGCGCCCCGCCTCGTGTGGATTCGGAGAAGACTCCTCCTGGGAGAGCTGAGAGAGAGAGAGGCGCTCACGGAGCGAGGCCACCCACTCCACTTGCCCCGAAACGAACGCTGAGAGATAGGATAACATTTACTTTGCTCGAGTGATCTTGGAAGCGGGCGGGTAAGGTGCAAACTGAGATAGGCGCTGTTTTTATTATTACACGCGTTTATTTAACTCACTCTGTCTGTTGTATTCTCAAATCTTGGAACTCAATTTTTACTCACTTCCCAATGTGGTATCGACTGCAAACTTGGTATACGTATGTCATACTGATGACAATACCAGACTCTGCCTTCTCGACAGACCTGTTCTCCACCTGAAGACGGCTGCTTGCGTTGTGGCCGAAACGTCGTGAGAATTATTTTATTATGTTTTATTTTTATTATTTTATTATTTTCCTTCTACGTGACATTACCGAAAGAACCAAGAAGATGAATACCATATTCTATCATTAAATATTAAAAATATATTTTTTAAGCAATCTTTTTTTATATCTTATGTTTCGACTTGCGTCTAATTGTCCACGCTCAATTCACGTTGGCTGTAAATCACCACGGCCCCTTACGTTGTGGCAAGCTTCGGGGCCACTTCCTCGAGTCGTGGAGTTCTGCCATTACTCGTACGGTACATTTCATTAAAGCGTGTTTTTAAAAAAAGTATTTTTTAATATTGCTTATTAAATAAGCGGACGGCCGGTGTGTGCCAACAGCGGGACCACCGGTTCCGCCGAGCTGAGCTGAGCTTTGATTGATCGGCGAGGCTCTTTGGAATCTCAGAGGCGGCCCTCGGACGCTCGTGCTCGCCCGCATTAATTTGACACCTCTTCGTCGAGAAATGTGGGATACGTACGTTTAACACGAAGGCTTTCGCGACCAATATTGTCCATGGTTTGGGTTAGATCGCGTAAATATCGACGTGTCGTTAACCTGCCACCACTCGATGTTGTGGGTTTACTCTTCAACACACAAGTGGCGTGTGCCGAAGGAGTAACGTATCGGCACGTCTTGTTTTACGTGACAAACCTTACTCATTGGCTGTGTCGGGTGGTGGCGGGCTCACGACACATTGATATTTACGCGATCTAACCGCAACAAAAAGCTTTATTATAGAAAAGGGGGCTGCTTCTGCTACTGCAGTGTAATGGTCAGCGTACTGGACTTACATTGCAGTGCTCACCAGTTCCATATCACGGCGTGGCCGTTGAAACAACGGGCAAGTTGTATTAAATGCCCTCGCCTCTACCGACGCAGCATTCTGAATATTGGTCGACTGCTAGGTGGCGTGCGGTGGGGTTCAAGCGTGGGTCCTCGCAGTTATTCCACAATGTTTGGGCGTGGTAGAAGAGTAGGCCAAAATACCCCTTACCAGAAGTGTTTTTTTTCTTAGAACTCCCACGAGTGAAGAAGGGGTTTCTCACCAACAGTGGTCTAATCGATACATCGTTAGGGCTGCACTATCGCCACTTACACATGAATAAATAGGCACATATGTTACGCCTAATTTGTACTGCCTAATATCGTGGTTGTGTGGTTGTAGATGGATACGTACATTCCTAAGAAATGGTTATCACTTCACCGGTTTGGGCAACCGCACGCAGACACGTTGCGGTCAGGTGTATGCGTCTCGAGTGTTGTCCACATCTCGCACCGGCGTCTGTATACCCGCTAGATGAAGTTGCAACCCTTCAGATGTGACGAAGCCAAAAAGGCCGCTATGTATGCATCGTCGTCGATCACCGCCGGTACTTGCGCGTGTCTGGGAGTGCTCGCAAAGAGCGGTAATTTAACCCTGGTTTTCTTCATAACAGAGGGGGGGGGGTGGAGGAGTTTGGGGGTTTGATCGCGTAAATAGAAATGTGTCGTTAAACCCGCCACCACCCGACACAGCCAATTAGAAAGGTTTGTCACGTGAACAAAACATGCCCATTCGTTACTGGTTCAGCACACACCGCTTGTGTGTTGGAGAGTAAACCCACTACAACATTTACAATTATAGTGTAGTGTATAGTGTAGTGTATGTTGGAGAGTAAACCCACTACAACATTTACAATTCGAGTACGACGTTTCGCCAGTCATCGCAACCAGCATCATCGGGCGGAACAGCCCAGAGTTGTTGTGGAGAAATCCTCCCGTTTGCTTATTTGTATTTTCCCAGTGCCGCTCAATGATAGACCACCCCCCCCGCCCCAAACACTCGTGCCCCAAAACCACCCAGCCTCTACCTCTGCCCGCACCAGTAGCTCACCTCTATTCTCCATCTCACCATCTCCCCCCCCCCCTGCCTCATTACTGTGGTTTGATCTCCTGCCAGCAAGGCAAGCTTCATAGCTGGAGAAACGCAGCGGCGCCCGGAGCCGCCTCGTTCTTGTCTCACCAGATATAGAAAGGATCCGACTACTTTGCGGCAAACATAAGGAAAAAAACCCGCGCGTAAATAAGCGCTATTGTGGTACTTGCCACCGGTGCGGAATCTGTTACGAGCGCAACCATACGTGGCTTCAGCACAGTCCATATCTCGGCATTAAAATTCCCTCAATTTCTTCCCACAAATAAGCTCAACCGTGGAGAATCGCGAACGAGGCTGCGCCATTGCAAGCTGTTTACTTGATGCGTATCGAACGGTCGGCGTGACTATACCAGCCTGTGCATTATGAGACATCTCCTTTACCAGTGGCAAAATATAGTAGTAGGTTTTTACCCTTTAAACTGGTACAAAACTGACACCTTTATACAAGGCATCATGTTTGCAATAACCGCAACACAAGTAGTCAAAATGCAAACAAAAAGAAAAAGAAACAACTCTGATAATGATAATTATATGCACTGTCCTTGAAGTTGATTGGTCCACACCCGAGACAGCTTTCCTTAGAGCCTAGTCTCCATTGGTGTTGGACCAGATGACACCAAAAGGCGTACAACTCAAAATCAGTGCACTATCAGAGTATTGAGAGCTCGGGGTAAGCATTTACACTATGAGACCTCCTTTACCAGTGGCAAAATATAGTAGTAGGTTTTTACCCTTTAAACTGGTACAAAACTGACACCTTTATACAAGGCATCATGTTTGCAATAACCACAACACAAGTAGTGAAAATGCAAACAAAAAGAAACAACTCTGATAATGATAATAATATGCACTGTCCTGTGCATCTTCACATTCCCCCCCCCCTTGCACCTCCAACCCTTTGTTAAAGTTACCGCTGTCCACATCGCCTCCCACACCCTTTAATCATCATCCTCGATTTCTTTCTCAAAACCACCACGAGCCCCCCCCTCCCCCTCGTGGCTTTCCTCTTCCCCCATTGCCCAACCCAACCTGACTCCATCACCACCGCCCCCCCCCCGCCCCAACACCGCTGCTCCGCTAACCGACGCCACTGCCATCTCCGCGCTCGTCTGACCGGCCCCCGTTCCGACTCACCCTCCTCGCAGCTGGGACCCATGAAGCCGGGGCAGCACCGCCACTCGAAGGCCGACACGGTTCGATAGGTGACGCGATACATCGGCCGGATCAGTGTCCTGTCACACGCGCACACAGCGACAGGGATCCCTCGTGTGGCATTTGACAGCTGGCACGGCGAGGAGAACTCAATTGGTGGTGTGGCTGGCACCACCCGTGTGTGACACACACGGACAAAGATTAAAAAAAGATCCCCCGTATAGCCTTGACAGACTGTAGGGGCAAGTGCTGTTAGCGAGCAGCACCTATGAAGGCCGGAACGGTACACGAGGGGGTGGGTGGCCAGCACCACGCCCGACCGCCTTTGTCTCCCCAGTGGCGATGTTTACACACCGCACCGGGTACTCATTTGAGGCTGAGTCGACCTAGTGGAGGCCCAGGACCGGTTCAGATAATCGTCACTGGTGTTGGCCGTGAGCGGGAATCGAACCCGTGTCGCCAGGTTCATAGCGGAGCGCGCTAACCGCTACACTACCGCTCCCCTGACACACACAGATACATACAAAGATCCCCTGTATAGCCTGTACAGGCTGTTGGGCAAGTGCTGTTCGAGAGCACATACGAATGCCAGGACAGTACATAAATGGATGGTGTTGCGAGGAGCACTCCGGCCACGGAGTTTGCCTTCGTGCTGTGTGGCTCCTTCGTATCGACTCGGATGGAGGTTTTTTTTATTCTCTCTCATTTGTATTGGCTTCTGACTACTCTGACTGCTCTCTAATATATTCTGCCCATTTGTTTGTTGGGGTTGCACCCGATTCAAGAGCCGAATGGCTCACAGGGCTATATCAAATAAATGAAACTGAAAACTGAAATTGAAAAAAGAAAAGCTGAATATCCATTGCCACATACGATCTGATCGTCTCGGTTTGGCCAATGACCTAAATGTACATTTTATTTTGCTTAAATTCTGGATAGATTCTTTTTCTACGCACACCATGCGATGCGTGTATCGTGAGCGTACAAATACATTTTAACCAACGCATAACTGCATGCTCCGCTTTAACATTTTACTGGGGAAACACTGAATGTGCACTGATACTTTGCATAGAGAGGCAATGCGTACAACCAGAAAATCGTGCCGATTAAATACTGTGCAGTCCAAGCCAGTGGGTGTTGCTCCCTCTCTCTCTCTCGTTAAGATTCCAGGGACTTAAAGCTTCAGGTATCACTTGTTTTTGTCTTTACCGGCCAATGTAAATAAGGGCCCTCTCCCAGTGATTATGAAGGACTTTGCCCTCGAGTGTAAGAAACCAGAGTCTTTATCCCTACGATGAGTTTTTAGGTTCTACCAAGTGTCGTTCGCAATGATGTCCGACGTTTTGGACCACGTACTGGGAGATTCTTCAGGAACTGAATCAGCTCCAAAACGCGGTAACAACCCAAAAACGCATCGAAGAGCAACGAAAGAGAGAGCTGGTGAGAGCTGAAGGCAGTGCGCGGCAGGAGGCCTGTGTAATTAGAGTCTCTGTCTCCCACTAAAATCTCCAAGTGATGACAACAGGCACAACCTTCTGAACACGAACAGCGCACAAAGAGATCAACTGTTCTTCTTGGTTCTTTCGGTAAAGTCACGTAGAAGGGAAATAATAAAATAATAAAAATAAAACATCATAAAATAATTCTCACGACGTTTCGGCCACAAAGCAAAGCAGCCGTCCTCGCGTTGTGGCCGAAACGTCGTGAGAATTATTTTATTGTATTTTATTTTTATTATTTTATTATGTTTATTTTTATTATTTTATTATTTCCCTTCTACGTGACTTTACCGAAAGAACCAAGAAGATGAATCCCTGCAGTCACGAAAGCTTTAAATCGAATTTTAGATCAACTGTTTGCAAGGATAATTCACCAGAAGTTGGTGGCAGGAGTTGACGTGAATTTGCGTCTAATCACATCTCTACCTCGGCACCCCCCCTAATTTTTTAAGCCCGGATTTTGAAACTCTCATGTCTGTAGAATGCGATATCTGTGCCTTGTGCTTATCGCGACGTGGTTTGGCGAGGCTTCTTTCTTTGCACTCGCTTTGAAGATGAGATTCCATCCATTACCCGATGTGCAACTGAGCTTCTCCTGTCAAGCCCTAAGCTCTGTGTGTTCAGGTCTAAACTTTGCTGTGTGGTTGTTGCTTTGTTTACATAGGTGACCCTTGCAAGAGAGACGTGTTGCCTCGGTGGGTTTCTCACCTGTGTGGCATATCGTCAACAATAATAATACAAATAAGCTCACGATGTGTGACTGGCCGTCTCTCTCCCTGGCATCAATAGTTCGGGAAAGTGACCACGTTAAGATGACAATGATATTGGCTATAACGAGAATGACAATTCGTACAGTGGGTATATAATTTTTGTTCACACTTTTGAATACATTCCCTTCACTCTTGTCATACATAAGCAAATGACGAATCAACTTCCTGCCTCTTCCAAGCCGTCCAGCCTGGCGTTGAAGAGTATGCCAAATATCCTTGCTTGCGCCACCGCTTTAGATTTCCCGTCAGAAGGAGATCTCCCGCTAGCGGAAAATATCAGGCCTGCACCTTTACCGTTTTGGTTTTTTTCAAGTACGCTTATACCTCGTGCTTTTCGATTTAAAGCTTTCGTGACTGCAGGGATTCATCTTCTTGGTTCTATCGGTAAAGTCACGTAGAATGGAAAAAATAAAATAATAAAAAATAAAATATAATAAAATAATTCTAACGACGTTTCGGCCACAACGCAAGCAGCCGCCCTCAGGTGGAGAACAGGTCTGTCGAGAAGACAGAGTCTGAATGTTCATTCAGACTCTGTTCATTCAGACTCTGTCTTTTCGACAGACCTGTTCTCCACCTGAGGACGGCTGCTTGCGTTGTGGCCGAAACGTCGTGAAAATTATTTTGAATGTTCATTCAGACTCTGTCTTCTCGACAGACCTGTTCTCCACCTGAGGGCGGCTGCTTGCGTTGTGACCGAAACGTCGTGAGAATAATTTTATTATGTTTTATTTTTTATTATTTTATTATTTCCATTCTACGTGACTTTACCGAAAGAACCAAGAAGATTAACCTCGTGCTTTGTTACAAGGGCAAGCTAGTGACCCGACGGGAGCGACGACGAGTTGGGAGGGCACCTGACGATGTTGGAGCAGCGCAGGGGCCAGCGGCAGCTCTGGTAGAGGCGCTGAGTGTAGGTCTCTGAGCCGTTTTGCACCTGACACGTCACCATCTTCGTTACCGTGTACTGGCACCAATTCCTGCAGCCAGAACAGGTGCGGATTTCATTAAACCCTTTCCGCTGTAATCCATCGGAGAAGAAGAAGAATGAGAAGAAGAAACAACAAAACAACTCACAGCCTGAGAAGAAGGGGGGTGGGGGAAACAGTCACTTATTTAAGAGCATTGAAAAAAAAACTTTTTCTTTCAGATACTTGCCTTCATTTTTGGGTGATCATTATTTAACGGTGTATTTATTCAAGGGGAGATTCACTGGGATCAAAGCACGCTAATTGTGCCCGATCTCGTCAGCCCTCCGAAGCTGAGCAGGTGTAGAGCCTGGTTATTACTCGGATGGTAGCCTGCCTTGGAATGCCCGGGTGTTGTCAGGCTTCAGACTGCGAGGTTGCCAAGAGGAGGGCAATATGGCAGTGGATTGAATCCATCGGTGCGGAGATTTAAAATGTCATCACATGCGTGGGTGGACTTTCTCTGGGTGCCTGGGTTTTTCTCCCGCGTGCAAAATAGTGTTGAATGGGAATGGCAAACGAACATATCAATGAAGGGACTCTCCTGCAAACGTATTGGATAAAAAAAGGCATTATTATTGTTAAGCTTCATACGACCACTTTTTCGAGGATGCTTTGTCTCCGGCCTCTAGTGGGGCGTTTGGCCATTGCATTTCAACGTTTTCTTTCCAAATTTGGCCAGGCCACCAAACACCATGATAGACACCACATTGGCCTATTTGCGGAAATGTTTACATTTTGCAAGCGAGCAGATGGGGCTGCTGGGCTTTTACATATACTCTGAGCACAACATGTGGATTTGCTATATAGCCATGGGAATGCAATTCACGGAACTCCGTGGGACCACCCAGTTCCCCCTTCTTTCCACTTGCAAATGCAAAACATTGAAGTTTGAATGCCCAAAAGTGAGTTTGGCTGTACAAATAAGTGCAGACAATGCAAAGATCGTGATAGCTCTTCAAGCGACCGGAGGAAACGTTCGTACGAACTCGCCACGTGCGGCCACGGATGGTGGAACAAGGGGGCGCCTGGGTAAATTCGCGCTGAGACGTTATCACACGTGAAAAGCTGTGAATACTCACACCGATTGGCACCTAATAACAGCGATGTAAAACACGAATTCCTTCCAAAACAACATCCTTTTACCAGTGGGATTGTGACGGGGCATTTTTCCGCGATAAACCATCTCGGTCTCGCCTGTCAAGAGTGAACTAACATGTCAAGTTTCCAACTGTATCGCAGAAAGTTGCGGCGGATCGGTGACTTGGTGCCAATTATTTTAAGGGGTCTGGGCGAAGGCCAACTGTTGGATTCCGATGACCGGCTGTAGCCTTTCTGGAAGGCAGGTCAGTCACACGATTCACAGGATCAAGAGTTACTTTACCGTCGCCAACAGAGCCAAGTGCAAACGGCCCGAGCGAAGTGAAACTCTGGCAAGTTTTCGTTTACAGCGATCGCACGCGCACAAACATTTTACCTTGTTGCAAGAATGTGACACGAGTCGCATGGTAGATGTGCCCTACTGTATCGGTAGCCCTTCGAACGCCTTCCCAATTATCCAGGAAAATTACCCTTTAAAATGTTTTTTTTTTTAACACAGCTCCTACAACCAGGGGGGGTGATATGTAATGGAAAACGTATGTCTGGGTAAAAAAAAAAGTTTATGACTTCAGCTTCATGCTGCCCCAGCTGCTAATAAGAAACATTTTCCGCAAAGTTGAGCTGAGCTTGGAGACATGTCAACGTGATATTCGCATACCCACTGCATTTCGTGTGCATCACTTGTAATCAGAAGTGTCGTGAATGATTCCGTGGTTAGATCGCGAGGAATTTTTAGAATCAATTAAGCACAACATGGGCAAAATGATCAATTGCAATCTTCCGCTTCCGTGTGGCGTGGAATTGATTGGCAACTTGCATGCGGTGAGTGAGCCAGTGGATAGCTTCTTATCGCAACTGCCGACAGATGGATGATGTGGGCAGCGGTGTTTCTACGTGGCCCACGGGTCCAGGTTGATGACCGGCAGACGCGGCTGTTCTCAATGGAATTCTAATCAATGAAGCCAATCAATATTGCATGCCTACTCCTTGGCAATGGATATATACAGTATGTGGCAATTGTAGAATGAGGCAGTAGCTCAGGAGTTTTTTTGTTCACGCACAAGGCTCCGAAAAAGCAATCCCACGCGCCCTCGCATTCTAACACAAACAGTCCCGTTGGGCATCACTGAACGGCGGAGAAAACATCATGGTCTTACAACAACATAAGTGTTACCAGGCAGTCCATAGCTACATTGTTGTGTTCTTCAATCGAGTTTGATGTGACGGTGCTCTCTGTGCAGGTGATGTGACAATGTTCTCTGTGCAGGTGACGTTCAATGCCCCAGTTTGAAGGGACACCGGATTTTAGTTATTCATCGCAATTACGTGAAGATATTTTTTATTTATTCCAACTATGATACGCTTGGGAGAGGTACAATTAAAGTAAGTACTCTACCATTACGCAACAGCCTATTCTTTCATACGATGTCATTTAACGTCCCTTTTTACGGCAGCTCTTTTTCTAACGGCACAAAATGACGAGGGCAAATTGCAGGAACAGAATCATAAACCGTGTGACCTGGGCAACGTTCCCACGAGCCCAAAGGAGGGGGGGGGGGGTGGAGCCTTATAGAGCACGGGGACGTGAATCCGAGCTGCGCCGCATTGATCATCCGTGTAACAAATACACTTCCACTTAAGACAACAGCAACAAATGCCTGTGTCGGCAACTGGGCCATTCTCGTGTCGTGTTATGCAGCGGCAGAGCCGGATCCCGGCCGTCATGGAAATGCTTCATACGTGTGCTGACCCCAACGTCGAATGGGGTGCTGCTAAGCATTACGCAACCTTCTTCTTGGTTCTTTCGGTAAAGTCACGTAGAAGGGAAATAATAAAATAATAAAAATAAAACATCTAATACAATTCTCACGACGTTTCGGCCACAACGCAAGCAGCCGTCCTCAGGTGAAGACCAGTTCTGTCGGGAAGACAGCGTCTGAATGAAACACCACCACGCTTGGAGCGTATATTTAAGCTGGGTTGGAAGGGGAAGAGCGCCTTGCCAAAAGAATTTGCATATCAAGAGGAATTTAGCATATTTATGGGAAATGCAGATATGTACTAATCACATTAGTACATATCTGCATGCTAAATTCCGAAAGAACCAAGAAGATGAATCCCTGCAGTCACGAAAGCTTTAAATCGAAATTACGCAACCTATTAAACAGTGGAGCACCTCGGTCCATGATGTACAAACGACATCCCGCCCAGCTCTCCGCCGTACACGATGACCTTCGTGAATCCCTCATCACCTGCCAAACTCCCCCGTGTGATACAAAATTTGCCGCTGTCAAGTTCGCTCACCCATCCTCTTGCGCTGACTCCCAATCAAATGCCGGTCAACTTGAAGGTCACCCCCCCCCCCCTCACTTGTCTTCCAAGATCCACGCGGCCCACCCACACGTCGACTTCTTCTCCTCTCTCGCCTCCCTCTAAACCCCTCCTTCTCCTGCCTCTCCCATCGCACCTCGAGGTCGCATTCGCTAATTCGCAACACCCCCCCCCACTCCGCGATGCACGCATCCCACCGGTTCGAAATTGTGGTCGCACTAAAGATGTGGATGATGCAACTGTCATTGTCGATCATCTGCTTGCCACGATCAATCCACTGCTGGATGAAGCCCTCTCCAGCCCCCCCCCCCCCGGACACCCCCATCTCTCCCGATAGCAGGTGGGGGGAATGGGGGGGGGAGGGGGTGAATATTTTCTGGAGCTAAGCCTCGGACAGCTCCACCCGATCGCATCAATCCTCACCGGGATCGCTGCTGCTGGTGGTGCTGCTGCTGCTGGTGGTGGTGCTGGTGGTGCTGGTGGTGCTGGTGGTGCTGGTGGTGGCCTCCTGCCTGCAGGTGCTCAGTCGTGACCAGATGGTGCTGCTGTCCCTTGCTGGCCCCGACTGACCCGGACGCGTAAGGGTAGCGGAACGATGCCCCGCCACCACCGCCGCCGCCGCTGCTACCGCTGATGCCACCGCCGCCGCCGCCGCTGCTGCTGCCGCCGCTGCTCAGGGTACCGGGGTGCGAGGATGATGCGTGGCGAGTCCCGACGCCCGGCCGCACCACCCCGCACAGCAGCAGCAGCAGAAGCACCAGCAGGCGGTCGTGCTGCTGCGGCCTTGGAGTCGTTGCGCCCGGCGCCCTAAGGGGGGAGTGGCCCTCCTCCATCCCGGGATGCCACCGCCGATCTTCTGCTGCTGCTGCTGTTGCTGTTGTCTCCTCCCTGCTCCCTTTCCTCCTCCTCCTCTTCCTCCTTCGCTTCCTCTTGCAGGTTGTTGCCTGCAAGTAGCCGCGGGCACATTGAGATGATTGTGGCTGGGGACCCGTCATCTGGAGGGAGTGCCCTGGCCAATAACGCGTGCGGCATCAGCGAGTGTGCTACACACGTGCGTTTGTTATAATCTAAATATCCCCGCAACTCAGTTGAGCACAGTTGGCTACGCACGGTGCGAAAGAAGTTCAGCATACGTACACACACAGATACACACACCGGGCGTGTCTGCTGATAACCGGTTCAGAGTTTGCGTGCTTAAATATGTGGTGAAACGCAATGTGCATTATATGCCTGGACGGCTAAGCAGTCGAGAAAAACATGTTATCTTTATTCGGATAGACGTAACAGGTAATGTATTTGTTTTGTTCTGGATGAAGTCCATCCAGGAGAGTTTATATAATGTACGGCCCTTTGTCAATCCACTGCTCCATGCTGTGTCCAGTCGTGAAGGAGTTCGCCCAAAAACCGGTTAAAAGCATCGCTCGCCACTGATGTTAGCCGTGGTCGGGAATCGAACTCGAACTCAGGACGCTGGGTTCATAGCGCTGTGTGAACGAATCACTGCGCCTCGCCCCCCCCCCACCTCCCTAGGAATTTTTTTTCCTGAAAAAGGCCAGTCGGCCGAAACGTCGATCTCTTCATTTAGTCTTAAGAGCGTCGAGGCAACATTCACCGTTAAAACAACCAACGCGCGGTGCTTTCACTTACACGTGATGATGACAAGCAACCATCCATCCATCCAGCACGTAACACTCCCGTATGCGCAAACACACCGGCAATTGCTCGACAGGTGAGGAGGTTGCGAATGGCCCCCGACCGGCTGAAAAGTGCCGCAAGCCAGCGAGAGGAGTTATTGAAGCGTGCGGACTCACTCAGTGTTTGATGTCAGCTCGCGACGACGGCACGGTCATGTTAAACTCTGCAGCTCAACTTCGCGATGTTGCATTCCACACGGCAGGCAAAGAACAGAAGCAGCAGCAGCAGCAATCTATCCTAGACTGCTACATGCATTGACACATACACAGTATGGCTTTTTTTGCTCAAGTCCCGAACTCCACAGTACACTACAGAGTATAGTATACACTACACAGACAGTATATATATGATCTCTACTTTGCGCTGAGACGTTGCTCGGCTTGCCTTTGCTGCTGTTGCTGTACGAGAGTTGCGCGCAAAGAGGTGGGTGAGGGGGGCAGAGCAACTTTTGTTTGCACAACGAACGCCGCAAGAGATGACTGTCTCTACCGCAGCAGCAGCAGCCACTGTTACCCAGGCCGGCTTCCAAAGCGCGTGTGGGTGATGATGTCTGGGCTGTGGAAGGGACCAAAGGGGTTGGTTTGGGAAGGGGTGGGTGGGTGATGGTGGGAGGGTGTAAGGAGTGGAATGGGTGGGTGTGCGTGTGTGTCAAAGATTTAAAGTCTGGGCTGGATAAAGATGCCGTGCGGTTTGTTCTACAGAAAGTCAGCTTGTTTATATACATCGTGCGTGTCTTGTTTTTCCTCCCTCTCTCTCCAAGTCCTAACATGCATCGGCTTTTTTACGCGGTAAGAGTGCAACAGCTGCGATTCTTTGCACGCGTGATGTCCTTCAGATATCAGTTTGCGAAGTCTTATTTTGTTGTTGTTGTCGCAGTGAATTGGTAATGTTACACGCAGTTAGATATTCATCTGCTTGGGAAATGGGAATAAACGGAGCGGGTTTTTTTGTGTTGTGTGTTAGTGATTTATTGTTGCATTGTAGTCTATCATTGGGTCCTCTTCTCGTTTTAGAGGGAGTGCTCTTACCAATAACGTCTGCTGTTTGTTTTTTAAGATGCTTAACTATGCTGAAAAGATGCAGACGGTTGAAATTATCCCAGAATTTCCTCCCTTGGACAAATCCTGGTGGTTAACATAACTACAGCATGCCAGTAGACCGATGGACGAAAATACGTATTTTAAGTGGAGATACAGGAAGTCAAATTATCCATTGTTCGTTGGTGTATTAAACACAGAGCTGATATAAATGATCCATGTTTACGTTGAATTTAGCTTTTGAGTTATTGTACAGTATAAGTTCAAATGTGCTGGTGCAACACAACGGCAAGGCCGCCAATTGTTAAGTTCGTGGGTTCAACTCCTGGTTAGGGTCAACGCCTCACAACTATTTCCCCTGGGGTCACGACTGAAATGAGTACCACCTGGCGAGCACCATGTGATGGGAAGTACACAGTGGTTATCATACGGGGTAAATGGTCCCCCTCCACAGGAATGTGGAATTTCCACCCACCGCTCAATAGAGCACGGTTCACGTTTCTAATTTCATCCAAATATGACAATGACGTGGACGTGTGGTTGGGAAAAGAATAGCTGCGCCATGCTGGTGACACCCAACCACTCCAAAACGAGTGGTGTTTCTATTCTGGACCAATGACTTTTAAATGCCTGATTTCATCAGATTTTTGGCAGCTAAGTGGGAATGAGCCTTGTTAGCGTACGGATGTGGGAAGATTCTGGCAATACCAGGGTGTTGCAAGCTTGGCTTGTGAGGTGGCCAGGATACGATGGTAAAGCAATGGGTTTCTTGAATTCATCTGTAAGGGACATTGATTGTTATCCCATTGTATAAGCATGGGTGTCCTCCAGATATTGTGGTCTCTTCCCACATGCTCGGCAACCAAAATAACTCAGTATTTCCAGAGCCGCAATGCGTGTGAATAACGTCATGAAGCAGTCCTTAAAGATCCCCACGCGCCTCCGGAACCGCAGGTTGCCAATTCCTGTACACGCGAGACACTCACCGTTAGAATTGACCAATCATATCAATGCAGGGCCCTCCTGGAAATTTAATTGTTCAAATATAGTAGCAGTAAGGCCAAAGGAACCCCCCCCCCTTTGCCCACCAACAACATCTTCTCGCTTCTGCAAGCGTTGAAGTGAATTATTAAATGTTGGTTCTTTCTTGCAAAGGATTGAGCGGCTTACAAACACCACACCATGGACTCGGTGGTCTGAGCTCGATCGCCACCCATAGCTAACATCAGTGGCGAGTGATCACTAAACCGCTTCCAATCCCCCCCCTTCCCCCAACCCTCAGTGACCACCGTGATGAAGTTATGGCCAAACAACCCCCATGACGAACAACGGCACGAGGAGACCTTCACCCAACAACAACAGCGCATTTACAAATCGCCAATCGTCGTTTCATTACAGTACGAGGCGACTATTGTAAATGTTGCACATCGGTCATATAAGCAAATTTCGAAAACGGAATAATATTTATGTGAGGCTCCAACTTGGACTCATGTTGAGCTTGGTAGCAACCCACCACCCTATGTCATCCCGGCCTTAGATTTTACGTCGTCACTCAACCACTGTCCCCGACCCTACCCCGTGAGTGCATCTTGGCCCTTACCCCGCCTTGCCAGTGGCGGCTCCTGCAAAATCTCTCAGGGGGGGGCAAATGTCTGGATGATTGATAAGGATAAGGTCCACCCATGCAAAGGATAAATTAACAGCTTAAGCATGTAAAGGCAACTTCACTTCTTTAATATTAATGAAAAATAAAGTGAATCTTACAATACATCTTGTTTGTTTCTATACTCACTATTAATACAATCCACTCATGTTTCTTTTATTAAAGATTCCACTAGGTGGCGACAAATAATTTTGTTGGATGAAACGTGCTTACGTATGATGACGTAAGCACGTTAGTGCGAGCCCTCCCGGAAGCCATAGAGAATGCATTGCAGCGCCCCCCGTTCGAAAAAAAACATCTTTGAATGTAAGTCTATGAGACCACTCGGGGCGATTCTCAGCCGGAGGGAAAAAAAGAGGCGGTACTCCACAGAACGTAGCATGACGCTGATTGGACTATATCCAGAGGCACAGTGACGGCTAGCGTGACTCTGTGGTTGAATGACATTGGTGGTGCGTCGCCCAATCGCCCTAATGAAGAAACCGCCCCTGCGCCTTGCCTACCCATAGGTCCTGCCCATTCCTCTGCTAGCACCGCCCACTACTCAGGCCAGTCCCACCCTTTCTTTTTGCCTTAATCCTGAGTCAAGCTTGAAGCCAGAAATGATTTAACCGGTGGGATAGCATCCCGATCCTCACAATGCTTGCCTTTATGAAACCATGAGGACTGCCTCGGCCCAAACCAGAATGTTTGGTGGCCTTGCATTTTGCAGATTATGTCATTGGCTGTGTAATTCCCACACTGCAAATGGACACCTTGCATTGTTACGAGTTGAAGCGTCTACTCAACGTTCTGACTGTGTTCCATGCTAGAAAAAAATAAGCCCCCATCTCTCGAGAGTGTATGTAGCATTATGAACTGAATTGTTTGGAGGTTAGCCCTGCCTGCCACCCAATCCACCCACCCGTGGCCTCTGAAAAACAGACAATTGCATAATTTTAACGTATAGAAAACATTACGAACCGCGACCCAAAATTTCCGAAATCCATTCTCACAAAAACCTGTGCCTAAACATGTGTAACAATGGGCCTGCACGTGACAGATCATTCTTCCTTCGTCCACTGCAAGTAGGAGAGTTCAACAAATTGCAATAAGTTATAGGCTGCATCTCTTGACCTTACGTTTTCTTGCAGGTGTGTTTGTACAACTTTAAACAGACAGTGAATCCTTACAGAATGTTTAAAATTTAACTTTCAGGCCTACTTTCAACACGAGGTTTTTTTTGGGGGGGGGGGGGAGTGGGGGTTAGTACCCCTAGTTTTGAGCCAAGGTTAGTGTTCTGTTTCTAAAGAAAGGATACTTTTCATAAATTTTCTCGGTTTGTTGAACGCTCAAGAAAAGTGCTCACGCAGTGCTTGAACTGTTTGGCTTGAAACCGTGGCTCCTCGCCTGCGTGTGTGTGTGTGGCCCTTATCTCTCGCCACCCCACCACCGATGTTCAAACATACGGCAGCTACGCACAATGAAGCCGAAGGCTGTCTTTCCACAGCGCCACCAAGTGGAATATGCACTGACTCGCACACTCGTCGCCCTGGCAAAATAATAATAATCATCGTCGTCGTCACCGCTGAAATTACCTACCGAGTCGCCGTCATTATCACGGGTGCCAATGTGACAGCGCCGTTCGTATGGACTTTCATCATCACATTTGCGTTGTCTGTATTGGCGAGCCGCGGTGAGTTTAGTGCACTGCGCTATGGACCTTATGACCTAAAGGTTGATTGCTGGCGGCCAGGGCGAACATTTGTGTTGCCAAGTTCTTGGTCTCTTATTCTTAGGTTTTTTCGGTAAAGTCACGTAGGTAAAACATTTAAATTACAAATGATTTTTATGTTATTTTTATTTTACTTTTATTAATTTAAATGTTTTACCTACGTGACTTTACCGAAAAAACCTAAGAATATGAATCCTTGCAGTCACGAAAGCTTCAAATCTAGAATTCTTGTTCTCTGCTTCACCGAGCCGCACTGAACAGTATGGTGAAGTATGGTGACCATCCGCACCTTCCCCCACCACCACCACCGCCACTGCCGGCTTGTGTTGTTGCTCTGGAGATGATCGATGTTGGGTCGCCGCGTTGATGGCATTCGCCGTGATTATTTTTCACTTTCCAGAGTGGGCCACGTGACGGCTGCCATCTTCCACTGCCCCCCCTCCACTTCGACTCCAGGAGGCATTTATCCAACAGTGGCTTTACAATGGGGTATACATTATTATTGTTATTTGGTTTTTTTTGCCATCACTTTTATGAATGCACTGTGTGTGGGCTCACAATGAGATGAAATGCATCACAAATGGCCTCGATTATCTTTCCTAGATAAATATATAATGCCTTGCTGAGTGATATCTGTTTTTCATTTGCAAGTGTACACCAACAAAAAACAAAAAAACTCTAGATGTAATACGGTCCCAACGTGACAATACAAAGCCAAAGATCTGTATACTGGATAACCTCAACATACTTTGGGGGCAAGTGCTGTTAGCGGACAACTCAGAAGGCCGGCACGGCACACGAGGGGGTGGGTGGCCAGCACCACGTCCAGCCGCCTCCGTCTCCCTCGTGGCGATGTTTACTACACATCGCACCAGGTACTCATTTGAGGCTGAGTCGACCTAGGGGAGGCCCAAGACCGGTTTAGATAATAGTCACTGGGTGTTGGCCATGAGCGGGAATCGAACTTGGGAAGCCAGGCCCGTAATGCAGTGCGCTAACCGCTACATTACCGCTCCCCACATACATACACACACATACATACACACATACATACACATATATATACACCCATACATATACAGAGATCCCCCATATAGCCTCAATAGATTGTAGGGGCAAGTGCTGTTAGCGGGCACCTATGAAGGCCAGAACGGTACACGAGGG